GTTGAAGTTAATAGAATAAAAAATTCATGATAAAACAATTTCGAGCAATTAAAATATAAGTTTCAAAGGATCGTATATAACTTTTTTTCAAGTTATCAAGTTTTCAAATTAATGAAATTTTAAATTATATATGCTCTGATATTTTCTTTCAAATCCTTATTGAGAATTTTTGACCGTTTAACATGAAAAATTGTATGTCCTTCTGGTTATTGTAGAGAGACTTGTGGGTGGGTCGACGGCCACGTAAATCACCGGTTACATCGGTCGATGCTCCGATCGATGTGACGTCCCAGGTGGTCTATTCTTGTAGTATCGGAAAACAATGAATCTAATGTGTAGCGCGTGCAAAAAATGCCAAAAATCCTATCCAGAAGCCGAGATGAGAGATATAAACGGACGGAAGATATAAATACAATCGTATCTGCAATACATATGTACACACCATACGTTGCTTTTACATAGGATCTAAACAACGATAAGCTGCATCTATTGCATGTATAATTCCGTATCGTCAGTAATGTTTTTGTCCAAGTAATTTTTAATCGAACAAAAATGAGAAACACGCATTATGCGATTTATCTCGCTGAAAATCACATTTATATAAATTCGTAATATTGTAAGCACGATTAAGAATCGTGCTTATGTTATTAAAGTATTATTTTATTATTCCTCATCGAAAAATAAATCCATGATGAATGAAGACTAAAGATGCCATCTTCTCAAATATAGCAGAGGGAGAACGATCGCGCATCGCATAAAATTCTCGAGAGGATAAAGTTTCCAGCTTACAATACTGTAATGCACTTCAAGCATAACAACGTCAATCGTAAAATCGTGAATCAAAGCGCAATGTCATCCAGGATCTGTTTAACATGCATGGAATTTTTCAATAAGGAAAAGAGAGATAAAGCAGTCGGTTTCTCGCACGCGAAATCGCAAAAATCAGAGAATATCCGTTTGCATATAAACGAGCATTCGAGAGATCCACCAATTCTCTTATCCAATTAAATAAATATCCGCGTTCTACTCCTCTCATTCGCGTAATACGCGGAATTTTATTTTTTTTATCAGTTTTTTTCGTAACAAATTAAATTTACATGATTATTTGCGGACCGCGAAATCGAGTCGAATATGTATGAATGCACTCTTATGACAGGTAACTACATCAATTGTGTAATCAGCTTTCTATTTCATTTTTATCATTTCGTGTCACGTTGAATTTTATACTCATTTTTAATTAATGATAAATTAATCAACTCTCGCGAACTTAAGCGATTATTTCAAATATGCGTATTTTTGCCAAACGGAGCATAACTAATATAACATCCGTTCAAACGAACAAAGGGAATACGTAAATTTGATATGTAATAGCGGTTAACTCACTATGCTTAATGAATCAATCTTAAATTCTCCATTTCACACCATTACGCCTTTTTATTATTTATTGTTCAATGAATTATGTTATTAATGCAACATTTAAAATGTATATTTTATCTAAATTGAATCAATTGTTTCTTTCAATTAATTATTTTTCAATTAATTATTTTTTGCTACATATGTTAATTTTTAATACGATTAAATATTATTTGTTTAATTATTAAAATTTTCGTTATTGTTTTCTCTTCTGAATTAGCTGTAATGGGACGTGTGTATTTCTTTTGACAACTTATATTCTTCGTCTCGACAAACCAACCACCCTAACGGCTGACCTATTTTCAACGTCAGAGATCCCATCGATCAATCAATCGAGCATTTAGATCGGTAGCCGAGGCTAATGCGACACGACGAGCGATGAGATGGAGAGCCGAGAGGTTCCCGTGTGAATCTCGAGGCACTTGAAAACTAATGAAAACCTATGCCCACACTTTTCGTATTCGAGTGTCCATCACACATCCAGTCAATATTTGTCAATGTTTTTTTATAACAAATAATTTTATAAAATTGACAATTATAAATAAATATTTCTTATCAAATATTTTTTAATATTATTATTGACTTAAATTTAAAAAAATACGATGACAATTTTTATCGAAATAACTCTCTCAAAAATAGAGAAATAAACATCCGAAATTTTATTTTTTAAGCAAACTTTGGAAATGTTCGAATCGAATAATCGTAGTTAGAATCTTTGATTCGTCTTAGTTTATTCCACAAATTCTTAGAGCTTTTTCTTCTACTTGTATCGATAAAAAATGTCAAAATTTTTCAAGAAAATAAAATCAAAATTATAGACACAAATTAACTTTTATTCCGAGGAAACGCGGAGTTGAAAAACACTGCATTACCACTATATGTTGCAGTAATGCGTAAGCTTGTAGTGCACAGCACAAGTGCACTCTATGTAACTGCCAAAGCGCATCCGAGTAACATACATGCGGTTCGATGCAGCAAGGATCGAGCGCAGCCCAATGTATGTATGTACACCAAATTGCCGGCAGCTAAATGATTAATCGCTTCTTGCAGTTGCTTACAATCTCTAATTACTTTACCATCCTAATACTCTCGGCATTCTATAGTAGAAACTGTGCATTTTCTGCCGATTATTTTATCATTCCCTATTCTATTAATTTAGTATATTGTATTTAGTACACTTCTCTTCAATAAAATTTAATTGAAGAGTGTCTTTTTATATCACATTAATTCCCAATGCTAATTATTTTAATAAGTATACACAGTGCGATTAACAAAATCAATTCATCTTTTCTTTAATAATATTTATTTATCGTATATTGTTTGTACGGAAAAAAATAATCAAAATATTTAATTTAATAAAAAAATTGTAACTTTCTGAAAAACTACAATTCTAGAAAAAAAGTGATTCGATATTTCTCCATCAGGATTAACGTATCTTAGACTTTCAGTGAAAAAGTCTTATCACATGTATGAATGAATAAATTATAGCGTCGTAAAAATCACCCTCTATAAAATAAATGTCGAACATTCGCCGAACAATTTGGTAAAATGGAGGGAAATATCCACTCCGTTGTAGCCAATAAAAAAAGTTGGCGACGATGTCGCCAGCAGGATGTGATACATACATAGCACATATGTATCTATGTTAAATGCGCAAGCTTTGATGCAACAAGGCGCGTCGCGATGCAACCGATGCGAGAGCTGCATGTCCAAGTTGTTCGGGATAAATTCTACAAATTCGCACTTCATTAGCTTATACTACAATTGTTGGCGCTTTTCCGATATATTACTTTTTCTCTTTCTGTCTCTTTTTTCCTGTTTTTCTTATTAAACATATTATACTCGTAAATTTCAAATGTTCCAACGCTTTATGAAGATTTACAGAAAGAAAAAAATATTAATTTTTTTAGGAAAATACATTTAACGAAAATACATTTTGATTTTGTAAAATATCCTAAAAAAAGGATATCCTAAATAAATTACAGAAAGAAAGAAATTTAAAAAACAAAATTTTTCGATAAAAAGGATGGAAAAGGGATTAAAATAATAGATGTATTATTAAAATAGTCTCATTAAATATCCTTTAATGTTAAAGATTTATTATTATTTAAATTTTTGTTCACTGATACTAGCGTGTGTTATTAATATTTTATTATATAATTACGTCTATTATCGTTAATCAATTTAATTAATTGATACATTGTTTTGATATTTCTCTCCCTTTCTCTATTTTCACATTTTATGCGTTTATTAATGTATAATTTATACGTATATTTCTGTTCTCGAGAAGTACGCTATATGTTTTATTGGTGCGCAAAATGGGATTTACTTATCGGATCATATCTATTGATGCTTGTAAAAGCACTGCAAGTGACGTCACGGAAACGACGTATAAATTTATTGTGTTCATATGCAAAAGAGAAGTATGGAACACCCACACATGAAACATTGTACGTATATAACAACTTAACTGCAGTCGTTTCGCGGAGAGTTTGTTGAAACGTGCATGTATTTTGCATATAACGTTAAATACAGCGAGTTAAATGCAATGTGTTTCCTCATTGCGCTTTACTTAATCTGTTTACGACGTTAGTAAATTTTACATTGTCAAAATAATGGCATAACGGGCTGTTGATCTTGTGTGTCGCGAAGTATAATATGAATTTGCGCTTGGATCTCAGCCACGTCGAAATTAACGAATTGACTGTTATTAAACATATATCAAAATAATATTTTTATGGCAAATTTAATTGGACTAACAGAAATTCGATTCATTATTTCGTTTGAAATATTTGTTAAGTTATTGTTCAATTATAAAATTTGTTTTCATAACTTATAACTTTCATCAAAATTGATATATATAAAAGTTACAAAAAAAATTAAATGTCGCGAAATAGCTGTCAATATCCTGCATTTATTATCTATAAAAATATTATAGATTAAAAAAAAACAAAGTTGCAATATTGATTTTTATCACGAAGCAGGATCAAATAAGTTTTTTCCCAAATATTTCGTAGCGATGTATTCCTTTTCGTGTCCACGACTAATATTATTTATCCTTTGCAAGTGGCGATCGTGTTGAAGAAAACAACACGGTCGGCCACTCGAAGGAAACGCACACACGTTACAAATCGAGGAAACACACGCGAGCTCTCGGAGAAGAAATGAACGAATGTTAAACGAAGAAACCTCGTATAACTCGTATAGATGACGAATGGTGGCATTAAAAAAGTTTGTCGGCGATCGTGTTCAGAAAAATTGGCGATCGACCAATTCTCGCTGTCATCGAGGGACAGCTTCAAGTTATCCGAAATTGAGTGTGTGTCGAGGACAGCATGTCGGAGGAGGATGGGGTCAGAGAGGAAGAGGAATACGAAGATGGAGCAAAGTGAACACAACAAGATGGCAAGACGGAGATAGAATTCCAAGGGAGGCGAAATGAAAAAAAGAGAGAGAAACAAACGAAGTGAGAAGGTGGCGAGTACGAAAGGAAGATCGAGAGAGAAATACCAAGAGGGAGAGGACAGAGGATGGAAGGGGAAGGAGCGGTGGCGGTCCAGGAGCAAGAGTAGCGGGGGAGGGTCGTGGCTTCGAATCAGGGGCTGCTTTCAGAGAAGCACGCAGTGCTCTCTCGTCTCGCGAGCCGGGAGAACGAGAGAGAACGTGCGTATTGGACCGCGAAAAGAGGGTAGTCCTCGCGTGTTCTCTTCCCAGGTGTTTTCACTCTCGCGTGCCCCTCGTTCCCGCCAAAAAAGTACGAAGTACCAAAAGGAGAAAATTGCGGAAATCACCAATCAACATCTTGTACCCCTTTCCTTTCTCCCTTTCCCTCCCCCTCCTCCGCCGCACCCTTGCCTCGTTCTTTGCTGTTCATCTCCGTAAAATCTGGACGAGGCATTCGGGGATGAGACGACAGCTGATTAACGCGTCGGGATTTAAGAGCAGGTGGAAGATCAGGGCTAACGCTCGAGACTGACAACGTGATCTTTCGAGGTATCTCTCGACAAAGTGACATCGGAAAAATCTCAAACGAGCCATACATTAAAACGCATTGATTAAGATTTAAGACAAGTGTGAGATGAAAAATTAACGCTCGCGGAAGATCAGAATATAATGATTTACTTAAGATAACTTTCGTTCAAATTTTTCTCCTCATTTCTTTCGCACGATCGATGGAAAGATTGATACATCTCCGATCGATCTGAAACTCTCGATCTTAATCGAGACATTTTTAGAACATTTTAGAAAGATACCGATATTTCATCATGAATTAATTAACTTCGAAACTGAAGAGATTAACGTGGCAAGTGCTTTGGTTTCAACTGTGACGGTGATATTTCAGTGAGTTCACTGATCCGCGATATTCTTTTATTATCACAGAAACGAGAAAAAATCATTTAATTCAATTTAAATTTCGTTTCCTTTTATTTTCAAATTTTATAATGGGACTTTAATTAAACTTGATTAACATGTAAATTGTTCTTAAAAGATAATATTGCGAGACAAAGAGATAAAAACAGTAAGGTGAAAGAAATATAAAAAAAAAATAAAAATGTATAATATAAGAATAAGATAAGCATATAAAATCTATTTAAAATATAAAAGCTGCAGTTTTTAATTTAGTTTTTAATTAACAAATGCTGACTAATCTGGAATATACCAAAGATTTTTTAAAAGCACTTTATTTGCACATATTTTTAATAAAGATTAAATGCTTAATATTAAAAGCGAGAGGAAAATGTCCACCGCATTACTTAATATTAGAAGTGAAAAAAGTAGTTAGCGCGTGCGATCGCACTTAACTGGTTCAACGAAATAAACGTGGTTTAAAGACTCGGGCGAGAATAGTAGAAGGGTTAACGCCCAGAAGAACCGCAATAGGATCCTCGTGATATTTCGGACTAGAGACTAGTTGAGGCGGCGACACACGCCGCTTTTGGGAAACTTTAACTCGTAATACATATCCAGGATTTTCTCGTTGACATGTTTGTCGCCCATAGTTAACGCTACAGTTGCGATTCGGAGAGAGAAGCTCCGTCCAGCTCGGAACTTTGACCCATATCTTCTCACCGTGTTAACTGCATTTATTTGACATGAAAAAAGCATTTAGTAAGCACGTAGCAAGATTAATCTCGAAGAAAAGTTATTATTTTCGCAACATAAACATAATATCAATTTTTATTTATTTCTATTCAAAGTACCATTTCCTTAAAACATTGATTATAAGTTCTCTCGCAATCATATGTAATATGAAATCCGTTATTATTGTTAGAAGAGATCTAAAAGCTTTGATACTCAACTTTGTTTTCAACTTTTTCTCGTAAAAATTCCGAGCGCGGAATTATTCTATCAAAGAGCAACAACAATAAATGCAAGCGGATTGTATCACAGTCATTCCATGAAATAGGTTGATATAAAACAGCATTCTTTAAATGAAATCGAGTATCATTCGTTTATTAATTTTATACATAATATAATTGTAATTTTTTTCAGAGTATGTCACGCTTTAAAACGCGAAAGTTATTCTGATTTTAATAAATTATATAATATTCAAAGTATTATTTAATTATTATTTAATTATTATTTATTTATTTTTTAAACTTTCAAAGAACTTCTCCACCAATAATTTCCATCATTCACACTGTAGTCAACATGTTAATAACTCAAATATTTAACATTACATTATTAATAATCAAATGTTAGAATAACCAAATATTTAGAAATTATTATTATGCTAACAATCATACAGAAAATAATCACTTCTAGTGTTAATTAGGTTAAACAAAAATTTTAATTTAATAGAGAATTTCAATATTATATACCCAAGTTTTTTAGTGTTCAATAAAACTTCGACATAAAATCGTGATAAAAATAAAATGATCGTTTTTCTTATACATCTGTAACAATTTTTATATAAATCAGGAGAATTGAGCTTTTAACATCTTACATAATGTTTGCGAATTTCTGCAAGATTCAGGATGGTCAAGCAGTCAGCCTCGTTGCTGCATACGGCAAATCTGAAAAGCAATTCCGTCAAGGAGGCTGGCCTTTCGTTGATCTTACTCCGCGCGAGATTCTCGTCGTTCTATTTGCCGAGCCGAAGAAGAGTTTGTCTTTCCGGGTCGTGGGTCGGGCTTTATTTAATTATTCCTCTCGGCAGATATACTCGCTCAAATCGCGTTGAAGACCGAGTCTTTCACTGGACATAGATATAGCTGAAGACTCTAATTTGAACCACGAATTCGACTGATTTGCGAAAAATGAGAACAAATGGGTTTAGAAATATCAGCAATCTCATAAATTGAAAGTGATTACGTGCAAACGTTAATATCCATCCGAATGAAATATCGGCGTCTTCGTTATTTTGCACGCTGACTTTGTAATATTTGTCGATTCGATTTTGTTCCGCGTAAAATTAGCGAATCCAATTAAGCGTACGGCATCTAACGAGCGAACTTAATTTAACTCGTTCTTCCGAACGCGTCTCTTTATGTCGGTCGCGTCGCCGTTTTGGAAATTACGCGCCAATAGGGCCGCGCTTTTTGCCAGGTCGAGGACTAATTTTGGCATAAATTCACCCTTGTCACTCTAAATAGAGAGGCTAAAAAGGATGCACATATGTTCGTGCGAGTATAGAGATTGCCTTTGTCTTCTCGTTCTCTCTTCCTCTAAAGATAAGAGGCAAGATAAATTAATTTGGCAATGCAATTTAATCCCAACTAAATTGAATTAAATTTCAAAGACTAGGCATATAATTTTTCGTCTGATGTTGAGTTTATCTTTCTGCTTCGAGTCGTCGAAATAAAAAACTGTATCATAAAAATCGCGACAAACTAACTTTTCAAATCGAAGATCATCGAGAATTTAGTTAATTCGAATTAATATAATAAAATGTATAATTCGCTTTAAATATCAATATTATCTTTTTTTCATACAATTATAAATCAATTTAATTCCGTATAATTTTATCTGCTAAAGGGAGAAAATTTTTACCGGTATCACTGTAGAAAACCATAGAGCAATAAAAATAAAAAACTCGCGAATTCTCTTCCCCAAAGTAACGCGAAAGGTTGCTTTCAAAGTAAGATCTAATTTCGGAACAAATTCGCTCTCGCTCGTGAGTGGTTCACCAAAGGAAAGGCCGGCGTGTAAGTTTCCATCGGCAACCGAATTTGTCTTTTCCGTTCGCGTCGATGAAAACAAGGAACAAATCCCGTTGCTAAACTTGCAACCGAAACAGTTCGATTGTGCTGATGAGTTCGAATGCGCGATGGAAACTTCGGTGCGGTAAATAGCCTCGACGCGTTCTGACGTAACCGAGGAAGTTCTCGGGCTGCGATTGTGTCCAGACTAGCGGAAAGAATAAAATGAGATCGAACTTCGATCAGACTCGATTATAGTGCTTATTCGAATTAACGGAATACAAAGGGTGCATCTGCAAGTTACATTAAAGTAATCAGCGTTATTTGAATCAATACAATACTTAGAACACTATCAAATTTATTCTGATTTCGGAAGATTAAATAGCAATAAAGAGAATACAATTATCGATATAAATGTTAATATATTTAATTTTTTTTTAAAGTATAATATATTTAAGAATATGATAGAGAAAAATTGGTCACTTTTATCATATTGCACAAAAGAAGGGATCAGACGATCAGACGATCAAAAATAACAAGGGACACCAGTTATTTGTTTATTCATCTCGTATATCGAATATTAATTCGACCAATAGACGGAGTAATTAAGATGGAATTGATTAACATATCGAACGTCGGTGACGAAAATATTCCCGCGTCGAGGAAGCTAAATCGGGCTGGTAGCTACGAGATAATGACCGTAATTGACACGATAGTACAATACCGATGTATTGAGCCACTGGAGGTAGGTTAAAATAATCTCGCAGCTGCTATGTGTGTGCTCTTGTTTCTCTCTTATCTAAATATACTTCGTTAATTCGGATATGTGTGTGAGTCTGCACACTTTACGTCACATACACCGTCATAGGAGCTCCTCGGAAACGTTGAATGTAATATTAAACAATGGTGTGGCAGGAACGAACGTTGAATATGATTGACAAAATCCCGCGTTCGCATATTAAGTTTGACGTTGCATCTCACAAATTCGATGTTGAAGAATTTAATTTTACGTTGCACGTGTCGTTTACATGTCATTAATAAGCTATGGTTTTTTAAAATATGCATAGTTCTCGATATTAAAATATATTATTCGTATCAACTGCGCGTGAAACGCATGTGTAGTAAACATTTTTCTCCCGTATAAATTTCAATTGTTTCATTTATTTTTGTAAAAGATAAAAGTTTTACTTCTTTTTCTTCTTAATAATATTTTCAAGCTTGAATATTCTGCTCACATTCTTCTAATAACGGTTTTACTCAATTGGTCTTTTAGCGACTAGTGGTATAAAATGAATTGTAAACATTGCATTTTGAGATGCTTCTTTTAACATGGAATTTCTTCTACGCTCATTAAATTTAATGACGAATTTTTTCACTAGTAATTATTATTGCTTCGTGAAAAGATACTCTTTTTTAGATTATTATATACTTTTAGTAATATAAGATATATCGAATTTTATTTGAATTTTTTCCATTAAAACGTGTCTTAAGAAATTTTATTCTACACAAATATTTATTTTTTTTTCTAAAAGAATATTCACTTATCACTTATTTATAAGACTACTGTCAATTTTCTGTTTTTTACTTATCAGATTAATTAAAAGCAAATTTCCTGAAATATTTTCTAAAACTCAAGAAAAAGTCGTTTAATTTTTCTCATCTTTACATCATCCTTATATCCATGCTAGAAAATTAAACTTCTTGAGGCTTCTCTCATGCAGGAGAATCACGATGCAGACATGAGGAGTTTTATAGGCGAGCATAAAGTGCGATAATATAAGACGCTCTAACGAAACGTCTTCTTTCACACAATCACAATATACAAATAAAAAGATATTAGATAGTAGAGAA